TTCAAGAAACCTGACTGTGAAGGAAGTGCCAGGACAGGACTAGGAGGTCTCGGTGAGGTCTAACAGCCTCTGGGGAGAGACTGGACCAGAGGGAAGGTCGGAGGCTAAGGCCTGGGAGCCGGCTCAGCCGGGAGGGGGGAGGGGTGACGGGGCCCAGGCGTGGCTCCAGACTGCCAGGGGGAGGGGGCGGGGCCCGGAGGGGAGGGGTGCAGTACCCCAGGGCCACCCCGACAGGCCGGCGAGAAGCCGGTGGGCCCCAGGGTCCCCGGTTTACAACCTGATCCCTTCTCCCAGGTCCACCTGCACGCAAGGGCCGCCGTGCATCATCGGGTCAGCGCTGGGCGCCCCGGCCGCTCTCAAGCGCGCTGCCCGGGTCTACCTGCCGGCAGGTGCCGGGCCTGGGCTCCCCGCGGCTCTCGGCCGTGCGAAGGGAACGCACGTCCCGCGACAGCAGGGGCCCGGCCGGCGCGTCCCGGGGGCCGCGGCACGCAGGTGTGGGCGCCGCGCAGGTGTGGGCCGCGCAGGTGGGCGCGCAGGTGTGGGCGCCGCGCAGGTGGGGGAGCCTCCCGGGAATTGTAGTTCTCCTCCTTCCACTTCCCCTCCGCGGGGCCCCGCTTCGCCGCTCAGCCTGAAACGGGCCGTCCCCGCTCCGCACCTGCCGCCGGCGGCTGCACTCGCAGCACCTCGCGACCTCCCGAGGCCCGCGGCCGGGCGCCCGGGGCCGTCCTCCCGCGGACGCGCGTCTCCAGCTGCGGGCCCGTCCCCTCCTCCTCTCCGGGGCGCCGGGCGGCAGGAGACCCGGCAGCGCAGCCTCCGCGCCCACACGGCCCCTCCTCGACCGCGCGGGGCTCCCGGCCGCTGCGGGCTCGGTGCGGCTGAGGCCCCGGGTCCCGGCGCTTGCGGGCAGGGGGCGTGGCCTCCGGCAGGGGGCGTGGCCTCCGGCCCCCGGGAGGCCTCTGGGAGTCGCAGTCCACGCTCGGCCGGCGGCGGCCTCGCGGGAGGGGAAGTGGAAGGAGGAGAACTACAATTCCCAGGAGGCTCCGCGGTTCGCCTCCGAGAGCGGGGCGCCGCGGGGAGTCCCGCCCCAGGGACCCCGAGGCTCTGCTCCCCTCTTCCAAAATCCGTCGGGTTTTCCCAGGGGCGGCTCCCAGTGCGCTGAGCGACACTGGCCGGATCAGCCGGTCAGCGCTGGTGGCTCGCCAAGGCGGGAGCCCGGAGCAGAGCTACGGAGGGAGGGACCCCGGGGGCGGCCGGGACCTGAAGAAGGCCGGAGCCTTGAAGGCCGCTGCCAGGCGCCCCACGTGGAAGTAGGGGGGAGGTAGCCCTGCTGCCGAAGTCCAAGTCAGAGAGATGAGGACGCCAGCACCCGTCGGTGGAAGGAAGCCAATCGGAGACTGCGTTAGAAGTCGAGCCCATGGGGCAGGCGCGGTGGTTGGGCGCTGACTCTTGGTTTGGGCTCAGGTCGTGGGTCGGGTCCCTGCGCGGCGCTGTGCTCAGTCCCCTCGCGACTTCCCCTCTCCTCCTGCCCCTCCTGCTGGTGCTCCCTCTCTCTGTCTCTCGAATAAGTACATAATCTTAAAAAATCCCAAGTAGAGCTCGTGCACGTGGGTGGCTGGAGGTGAGATGACAGGCAAGGAAAGAGTGTGGCTTCTACAGATTTTTGTTTTGCCTCATCGGAGTGCCATGAACAGGCAGCGAGTGGGGCAGTGACAGTGCAGGGGTGGGGGGTGAAAGTCAGTGGTTCCTGAGCTGTGGTTTGTCAGGCCCAACAGACGTCTGAGTGGAGATGCCGAGCAGACAGGACACAGGGGCCCTGAGGATGGAGCCGGGCTTTGGATCAAGGGCACACAATGGAATAAATAAAATGGACCAGGTGGGGTTACTGGGCAGGGGTGCTAGGGAAGGACACAGAGCCTCGAATGTGCATCTAGGAGAGGAGCATCCAGCAAAGGAGACGGGATGGCCAGGGACAACCCAGGACAACCCAGGGACTGAGTATTTTTGAGGCCGAGAGGAGAGAGAGTTTCAGGAGGGAGGGAGTGATAACCCAAGAGGAGTGTTTCCCTGGAAGAAGGCCGAGCACGAGATTTAAAAGCCAGGACTGCTGGATTTGGAACCATGGTGGTGGCTGGAGATCTTGACCCCAGCAGGTTCAGTGGAGGGAGGAACCAATGGCCTGACTGGAGAGGTGTGAAGGGGAGTGAGCAGTGTGGAAGTCGAGACAGCTCGTGTAAACAGTGTTTTAAAGGAATGTTGCTTTAGAGCAGAGAAATGAGGCAGCGGCCAACAGGGTATGAGAAGTCCAGGGAGGTTTTATCTCCTCTTTCTCCAGATGGAAATATTTCAGCTTCTTTTTTATTTTTTATTTTAAGATTTTATTTATTCACGAGAGACACAGAAAGGCAGAGACATAGGCAGAGGGAGAAGCAGACTCCCTGCGGGGAGCCCGATGTGGGACTCGATCCCAGGATTCCGTGATTACGCTCTGAGTGGAAGGCAGATGCTCAACCGCTGAGCCCCCCCAGGAGCCCCATATTTCAGCTTCTTTGCAGAACAATGCAGAAGGAGAGATTAGTGATGCCGCAGCAGAGATTAATGATGCAGCACAGTCACTGAGAGGTCCATGGGGACTGAATCCAATGCTGTGTGGAAGTCGGGCATCATTCTGCATCGTGATGGAAGGCAGGATGCCTGGGCAGAGGCCCTGGTGGGTATGGTTGGCACAGTAATGGTCCCCTAAATTTGTCCACATCGTGTTTCCCAGAGCTTGAGTGTGTTACCTTACAGGGTAAGAGAGGTTTTGCAAATCTAATGAGGATTAAGGACCTGGAGATAGGGAGATTACCCTGGATTGTCCAGGTGGGCCCACCATCATCATGAGGGTCCTTAAAAGTAGAAGGAAGAGGAAGGCACAAGGGTCAGAAGAAAACATAGCTGTGGAAGGAGGGCACGGCAGGTGCATTGTTGCTGGTTTTGGAGGGGGAGGAAGGGGGCCACCAGCCAAAGAATGCCAGTGGCCTCTGAAGCAGGAAAAGGAAAGGAAATGGATTCACTCTTAAGCGTCCAGGAGGGAATGTAGCTGTTCTGAAAGCTCTAGGCTCTTCTTTAGCCTAGTAAATCCCATGTCCGATTCCTAACTTACGGAAATGCAGGATAACACATTAATGTTACTGTAAGCCACCAAGTTTGCGGCGATCTGCAGCGGCCACAAGAAGACTGTAATGCGATGGACGGGGGCTTGGAGGAGGAGGGAGGCACGTCTCCGGGAATGACGAAGTGAGGTTACCAAAGTCAAGAACAAGGCCTGCGACGCAGCCTGGGGGGGTTTCAGAGAGAGGAGGTGGGATGAAATAGGGGTCTGGCGGAGCGGGAAATTTGCAGGCAGGAAGCTGGTGGTCCAGGCTGCTACGAGGCGAGAGCAGCTCTCACCCCACAGAGGCTGACAGTTGTTGCCACTCTGGAAAGCACTCGCCCATCTGAGACAGACTGCTCTTGAGGCACACAGTGGACGCTGACCCGTACGTAGGTGGGAGGAGTGCAGGAGCAGAGCGCTGGGTTAGTGGCTTCTGACCTGGGGAGGGTCCTGGCCCCAGCGACACCAGGTCAGCCTCCTGCACCCTGCATCTTGAGTCCTGGGTCCCCTTGGCCCTCTTCCAGGGCCTCTGGGGGAATGTGATACATGTGGGTATGAGAGGAAGGAGTTGGTGCTCCCCAGATGGCATCAGAACTCATCACAGTGGCCTTTGGGTGCTGTTGGAAGCCACAGGCTAGCAGAGGTCTCGCGTGGGCACCTGCTCTCCATCTGTGTCCCTGTGGACACATCCTACATCAGTCTGTCTGGGGCAGCTAAAATAATCCCAGGAATAATATTTTCAGGGCCTTTGAGCCCTCCCTTATGGAGCTGCTTCACCCCACCCCATCCCACCAACCTATCCCATCCCTAAAAGTAAGTTGCATCTGGTTATAGCCTAGTGGCTGAGCTCTAACACTGAACCACAGGGGAGCCAATGTGAACGGCCCCTGGGGGCCAGCACTTGCGGAGGGGGAGGGGCTTTTGTAAAAGGGCTGTTGGGAAAGGTGTTCTTGAAGCAAAGGGCACGACCAGAGAGGAGGCCCAGGTGTCCGTCTGGAGTCATCGCACACAGTCTGGGCACTGGCCTAGTGGCAGTGACTGCTTTCAACTGACCACATATCATCCACAGGCCCTGTCCTAGCCCAGGAGGGGAAGCTCCCTCCACCCTGGCTGCCCATCCCATCACCCTCCTTCCAAGGTTTCTGACCTCGTGGGCTCATTTTGACCTCTAGTCCAAGCTGGGTAGAGCCATGGCACATTCACTTCAAGCCATGAACTGGGAGGGTCTGTGTCCCTGAACTCACTGGTATTGGGTATGGTTCCTCTTCTGTCAGGAAAAGTGACCACCTGCCATCGCATCATGCTCATAGATCCTAAAACAGGTCTTTGATTGGAGATCCCAGTGGAGAGTCCGCAGTTTAGTGCCTGCCTTTGGCCCAGGGTGTAATCCTGGAGTCCTGGGATCGAGTCCCACATCGGGCTCCGTGCATGGAGCCTGCTTCTCCTTCTGCCTCTCTCTCTCTCTCTCTCTCTCATGAATAAATAAAATCTTAAAAAAGATTTGAAAGAAACTTCAAAGCACATGGCTAGGAAGTAGCCATTCATTTTATTCCTAGAAGCTCGTGAATCCGAGAATGGTCCCGGGACACACTATTTCCCTGTTGCTTGGTTACTCTGGAGACAAACCCCATCTCCAGGGCGCACAGCATTCCCAGGGAGGTGGAGGCACTACCCACGGTGAGACAGGCCACAGGGGGCCTCCTCGCCACCACCATTACGCTACTAACTTTGCTAACAGAGGGGAACAGGTTTTAGAAACAGTCCCTGGCATTAGATACAGGAAGAACGCCCTTAGTTTAGTATTTACGCATTAGACACATTAATGACACATTAATGACATCATTCAGCCCCACTCCAGAAGGGTAACTAACTCTCCAAAAACCTTTATTTAACAAAACCAGAACATCTGATGGTAAACTAATAACACAGACTCAAATGTGCTAGATGCAAGACGTTCAGGGGGCTTTGCTTCTCTCTGGCACACATGGGCAACATGTGTGCAGAAAGCACCTGTCTCCCCCGAGTCCCGACTGAAGGGGCAAGTTCAAGCTGCTGCTCAGGCCAGGGCCGTCGGGGTCTGAGGTCTCCCTCCGTCCCGGTCCCGAGTGCCCCGCGCCGAGAAGGGCTTCAGCGCCACTCTGGTCACGTCTGCCCCCAGATCCACACAGTCCCCGAGGAGGCCGGGACAGTGAGACCCTGGAGAACCCTGGTAGTTCTGTAAGATTCCTCCTCCTGCCTGTAGCTCCCACCCTGCACCCACCCAGGGGGAGCTGTGGGGTCCATAAGAGATGGACTTCCTTAAGAAACACGGCTAGGGGCCTGCCTGGGCTGCTCATCCCCGCTGCCCTGCCACCCAAGCACCCGGGGAAGAGAGCCGGCCGACCTGGGAGGCACCCAGGTCCCTGCCCACCACATTTGGACCGCAGGGAGGCGGGAGCGGAGCAAGGGAAGGCCACGGCCACCCTTGCACACCTCGGGCTGGAGCTGGTCACCAAGGCCTCCAGACGCTCTGGGCTACGCGGGTAGCGGTCAGGCTGCCCAGGGCTGCTGGCACCAAGTCTGGCCCTTCGGCAGGCGCTCGGGTCAGTTCAGCCTCGGGGGCCTCCTCCAGGTCGGAGCACGGGTCGTCCCCGGGGCCTGGGGGGCTGGGCAGAGGGGACCCCAGGACCCCTCCCGTGAGCCAGCCGCTTCGCCCGGGGGCTCCCGGGGGCCCGGCCAGGGCGTCCCCCAGCAGATCCCGGAAGCTGCTGCCCTCGCGCAGGGGCATGGACTCGAGCAGGTGGTTCAGGAGTTCTGCGGCGACGGTGGCATCGATGGCCTGGCACGTGGACACGAACGTGTGCACCTCGTGCATGCACTGGATGTAGCCGGCCGCGAAGCGCTCGCTCGCCTCCGCCTGCAGCTGCTCGCGCTCTGCGCCCGGGGGCGGGAGGGAGAGAGCGGCGGCCCGGCCGGCCGGTGAGCGGCGACTGCGGCGGCCGGGCTCCCCCAGGGGGCCTGAGGTCGCCGGGCGGGGGGTGCCCAGCCCCGGCCCGCCCGCGCCCCCGCCACTCACCGCGCGCGCGGCCCCGCAGCGTGCCCTGCACACGCCGCACCGTCAGCTCCAGCACCTCGGCGTTCTCCAGCTTGGCCTGCACCTGTGGCGGCGGGGCGGGGGCGGTGAGGCCGGGCCGGGCCCCCGCCGCGCCCCCGCGCCCCCGCGCCCCGCCGCGCCCCCGCCCGGCCTCACCTCGGCGCCCGCCAGCAGCAGCCGCAGCTCCTGGAGGCTCTCGTTGATCCGCGCGCGCCGCTTCTTCTCCACCAGGGGCTTCCGGGCCTGCGGGAAGCGGCCGACTGAGCCCCGGCCCGGGCCCCCCGCCCCCGCCCGCCCGCGCCCGCGCCCCGCACCTTGCGGTCCCCCCGCGCCTCCCAGCCGTCCTCGTGCTCCCGGCCCGCGCGGTCGCGTCCCGGCGCCAGGGGCGGAGCCATGCCCGCCCGGCTCGGAGCCCGGGAGCCCGGGAGCCCTGGAGCTCGGGAGCTCGGGAACCGAGAGCCCGGAGCCCGCCGCGCCCTCGCCGCCCCGCCGCGCCCCGCCCCTCTTATAGCCCCTCATTTGCATCTCAATGCGCGGATTGGCCGGCCGGGCTCGGGGCCGCGGGCTCGGGGCGCGCGGCGGCCAATGGGAGCGGCGCGCATTGTCCGGCCCCGCCGCCCGCCGCCAGCCGCCCGCCGCCCGGCAGCTGGTGGGGCGGGGCCGGCGGGGCCCCCCGCGCGGCCTCCGCGCCCCCGCCGCGGCCTGGGGCGCCCGAGGGGGCGGTGACCCGGGGCGCGGCCGCGGGGGCGCCTCTGTTGCCCCTACCTGAGCCGGGCCCCCGGGTCCGCGTGCGCCGGAGCCGCATCGCTCGGTCCCCCTCGTCCTAGTCCGCGCCAGGGGCCTCCCGAGGGGCATCGGGGGGCCGGGGGACCGGGGGGCCGGGCACCGTCAAGGGGGCTCCCGCGGTGGCGAGCGGCTCCCTGGCTCCCTGGAGACCCCTGCGTGCTGGTGGGTCCCTCCCGCACGGGACTCGACCCTGCACCGCGTCCTGCGCCCGCGCGGGGCCGCCCTGCCCTCCTCGGGTCACCCTTCTCCCGGGCACCCCCCCCCCACCAGCCGCCCTTTCTTTTCCAACCATCATCGCTGCCCCCGAGCCCCGCAGGTCCCCTAATCCCCTTCACTCCCCCGCCCCCCGCCCTCCCCGCACGGACATCCCTGACCTCGTCCCCGCCCTTCCCTGCCCACCCCCCCGCCCCGCTCCCGCCCGTCCTTCTCCCCACTCCTGTTCATTCTCCGGGGCCAGGCTCCTCCGCCCCCCCCCGCCCTCCCCGCACGGACATCCTGACCTCGTCCCCGCCCTTCCCTGCCCACCCCCCCCCCTGCTCCCGCCCGTCCTTCTCCCCACTCCTGTTCATTCTCCGGGCCAGGCTCCTCCGCCCCCCCCGCCCTCCTCGCCTCCCTCCCCCCCCCCACCCCCCCCGCCACTGGCCGAGGCCGCCGTCTGGTCTCCGTAACTTGATGCCCATGACAGTTGGCAGCTGCAGCGGCTCCGCCGGAGAAAAGCGAGGGCCGCGCCAAGAGCGACAGGTGTTGGCCGCGCCTTTGTCTGGGCGCGCTTTGTCCAGCGGCGGATGGCGGGTGAGCCTGTGTCCGCCAGACGACCGCCCCGCCCCCCGCCCCCGCCCCCCGCCCCCCGCGGCCGCCCATCTGCCAGGCCCGCCTCCCTGCGGGTGGGGTGTGTGGGCGGGGGGCCGCGCCCTGGGCAGCGCCCTGGGGACCCCGGCTGTTCCCGGCTCCACTGGCTCAGGTACACTTCGGGGCACAGCGAGGCTGGACGGGCAAGATGGGCTCTGGGCAGCACGCCTTGGCACAGGCTGAGCCTTCCACCTGGAACAGCCTTCAACACCCTCCAAGTATCTATTTACTCACTGTTTAGGTCTCCGCCTCCCTATTCCTCTTCCTCCTCCTGGTGGGAGCGCACCTGCCCCACAGTAGCGCTGCACCCCTACCCAGCCCCACACTACTCACCAGGGACTGGGATCCTCAGGGTCTGGTCCCCACCCCTCCAGGCTATAAGCATCCCTTGTCAAGGGTACCTAGGACCTCCTGTCTACCTCCAGCGCAGAGCCTGGCCTCGGCAGAAGCCTGGGTGGGTAGAGAAGGTGAGGGGATGTCCCAAGCCCTGCTGGAAAGCGGTAGGGGAAGGAAGCATCCAGGGGCTGCAGTGCAGTGGGTTGTAGGACTAGGCCACAGATATGCCTCACCCTAGCCACCTGACGTTGGATCTTGCAGCCCTCCCTGTGACTCCTTTGACTCTGGGCTCCCCACCAGAAGGACCTTTACAGACAGGGTGAGTTTGGTAAGAGGTTGATGTCTCTCAAAGTCACCTCACTGACCTCTATCTGTAACTACCTGAGAGTTTCTCCTGTTGACTTTCACCTCTCTGTACTCAGCCTCTTGTTTGCTTCCCGTAAGCAGGCTTCTAAGACCTCCCAGCCCAGCGTTGCTCACCCAGGTAGAAAGCTACTCCTTTACCTCGATCATCCACTGTGGTTCTCAGTCTCCCCTGCATGCCAGGAAGCTCAGCTCTCTTCCTTCCCCCTCACCTGGCAGCTCAGAGCCCCACCTGCTTTTCTTCGCTTACTTCTAGTGATGGTGCTGACAGGGAAGAGGGTTCAGTGTGGACCCCATGAGAGCCCATAACTGGCCTGTGACTTTACTCTTCTTCATCACTTAGACATCACTCCAGGGAAGGAGATCCCTCAAATAAGTACAATTAGGTTTCCACTACTTTGAGAATATGAAATATGAAAAAAATTCATTGATATTTCTTCTAGTCTGATGCGTATGCCTCCCGTCACCCATAATATTGTTTTAATAAAGCCAAATAGCGATTTTAGAATGCTCTCCATGAAGGACAGTTACTATTGGAATAGGATGGGCAGTGCCCTAGGGGACACCTCTGGGAAAAGATCAATAGAACATTTGATTTGATGGGGGCATGGGTATGGGGAGGAAGGCATGATAAAGGCAAATAGCACAAGCAAAAATGAGAGGCAACTAAGAACTCCAGGAAAAATGGAAAACAGAAAGCTCCCCACAAAGAGAAATATAATCTCAGCACATTGACTGACCTAGAAGCTAACAGTTCTCTCACAGTCACAACAGTATAACACTGTTCATGAGGTTTCAACATCTAGAATCAATCTATAGAGAAGGCAAGGAAGACATTATGGTTATGAAACATGATATAAAGTTGACTTTGTAAAACCCAAAGGATACGTGACAGTTGTCAGGAGGAGGGAGGAGGCTGAAGAGAGTGAGTAGGGACCCCAAAAGGTTTGTCTCACATGGGAAGGTGGGGTTTGAAGAATGCTGTCTATAGAGTTGAAGGAAGGAGAAATGAAGTGCTGGGATATGCCTCATTGTGACCAAGTACCCTGAGGAAAAAAAAAAAAGCACAAGGATGGAGCAGGGTATTAGAAGTCAACAAAATCCTTGGTTGGACCAGAAGTTGCTCGAGGCCCCATCTTTGAAGTTCACCTCATTTTCCCTTAGTGGGCCTGTTGGCAGGCTGGCTTGGCCTTTTTCTCCCAGAAGCCTGGTTGTTCCACCCCAGGGCCACCGAGCCCTCTCTCCTTCCTTTGCACAACCTCCCCTAGTGGACCCATTTCCTGCCATTTGTCCCTTGGACTGATCCTACCTTCAAAGGTTGCTTGAGCACAGACTTCCTGAGCATTTGGGCCCTTTGATCCCTCCAGATCCAGGAACAGAGGGCAGCAGAAGCTGGGCAGGGCTGTGGTGGCCACAGGGGGACCAGTTAGCAGCAGGAGTGGCAGGCCATAAATCCCCAGGGAACAAAGGCAGCGGCCAGCCTATGGATGTCCAGACCCCTTGTAGGCAATCAGCCCAGAAAGCTCGGAGAAGCTCCTTTTGGTCTGGAAATAAAGGGGAGGTGTCTTTGGGGTTAAATGGTAAATAAAAACACCATTAAGAGTCCACAACGGCACTCGGTTCAGCCAAACAGCCATATCTGGTCATTTAAGGCCAGTCTGCCGAGGCTTCCATACTCACCCTTGCTCCCCACCCCCACCCCGTTCCCCCATCACCACCAGGCCAGGAGGCAGGGAGTCGAGCCCGCCCTGCTGTTCAGGGAGCTCCTGGGAGGCTGGGCACTGGGTCCAGGATCCATTCATCTCCTTGCTCTGATGGCCATGGTACTGGCATGAACAGTGGGGGGCAGTTGGAAGCAGCCCCCCACCCCATTTTGACCAGGGCCCGCTAGGCTGCTTCACTGTGGAAGGGACTGGGCATGTGGGGTGAGGGGATTGTGCAGTGCTGCCTCTATCGTCTCTGATGGAGACACGAGGCCTTTCTGGCTGGCATCCTCTGACATCTGCCTTCAGCCCCGTGGCCAGCACACTGCCAGCCAGCCCAGGAGGGACGGACAACCTAGGGCAGGGTACAAAGGAACAGAGTGGGTGCCGGGGGCCACACCTCAGAGTGGACAGGCCTGGGGGCTGAGCCAAGCAACCCAACCCTGCATCTGCAAGTGAAAAGCCCATGGGAGCACTGGATTACACGATTGGATTTACATTTTATAAAGTTCACATCCTAAGAGTTCACTGGGCTGCGCTGGCAGCAGGCGGTGAGGGTGCGCGTGAGAGAGATGCCCACGCGCATGTGCAGGAAGGGGCCAGCTGTGCAAGGGAAGAGATGAGGGAGGCCTTTGTGACAGAAGTGGCCCTAACACAGCATTTCTAGAGTTCCTTTTTTTTTTTTTTTAAATCTTCTGGTACTCTTTGATCTCTATTGTTTTTGCTCTGTGCTACATTAAAAACACATACAATGAACAATAAAAATATACTTGCTTTATTTACCAATTTTCTAAAAAGCAAAACAGTCATAAAAAGACACAAGCAGTAAACAAACATATTGCACTGGGTGAAGAAGGTTTTGGTTTGTGCGTGAACAAACCACTTGTCCGGCAAGGCTTACCAAGTCATTACACAGACTCCGAGAGCTTATGTACATGTCTTTTTTAGGAATAGATTAAAAAGAAGGCTCAGTTTAAAATCAAGAAAAGGGTTTCATGACCCCTGTGTAAGCACACATACTAAAAGGAAACACGTCTCGATGCGTGGCACCGTGTAAACAATTTCACAAAATGCTCCTATTGTCAACTTTCCAGCACGCGTTAAAGCTACGCAGTTAACAATCAATGAGCACAAATCATGTACTTAAACAATGCTGATGGTAGACATTCAGAACAGTGGAGAATGTTTTGACAGTTGTATGTTCAGGTAACATACATGTGACCTTACTAGCGTCTAACTCCCTAGTGATCTGATGTCAGAGGCAGGAGGCGGGTTGGGAGGCATCTATTCTCCACACAACGCACAGGCTACCACCCTCATTTTGGGCATCTGAAGGTGATGTTACTTTATAAATAATAAAAAAAAGACCCACCAGTACTCTTACATTTGAGTTTATGAAAGGTAGGATTAACACCCAAATATAAGATTGA